ATTTTCGAGGTATTTGGGGATGCTCATTACGAATATGGCACTCATTTGTAAATCCAAGATGGCGGGCACGATTTTTCAAATAATGGCAAGTTGGGTATCGTTTTCGAGGTATTTGGGGGTGCTCATTACGAATATTGCTTTTATTTGAACTGTCGTGTTTGCCATCTTGGATTTAGAAATGAGTCCCATATTTGTATTGAACATTCCCAAACATCTCGAAAACGATACCCAACTTGCCATTATTCGAAAAATCGCGCCCGCCATCTTGGATTTAGAAATAAGTGCCATATTCGAAACCTAAAACCGAAAATGCCATAAGCAAACATTAAAGAAAATAACTGTTAAAATAGATTAAAAAATCGCTTAAGAATGCTCCCCTTTTAAGAAAATAAAATATTTTAATATAAAATATTTCGCTTGAGTTACGAAAAGAAAGACATATAATAAGCTATCAAAGTTGTACTGGTGGTGCCAACACTATAGTAGAAACAAATATATACTGTAAATTTGTTGCAATATGTGCTCCAATTCAAATAAAATTAATATAAATAATTATTCAATAAAGCATGAACGCAGAGCCGTTAAAAGTATTATAAAATAATTAAGTGTCCCAATCACTTACAGGAGTTAACGAAAACATTTAATGTTTATTCGAGTAAATATTAGTTCAAAATGCGCAAATAAATCGAAATTACAGGCACCACTAAAATTTACGTAATATAATTATTTTGATACAGAATAGCAAAATGGGGAGAAAAAAAATTCGTTACTTTGCAACACTTTCGTATCTTGTTGCCGCGAAATTATTTTTCTGTTTTAGTGAATATTTACATAAAAATATGAGTTGAAACGCATTACTTACTTGTGGAATGCGATGTTAGTGTCTATTTTGTTTGTCTGTTGTATTTTTACACCCATTTACCGCACATTTCGTCATTTTTAGCAAAAAATTTTGGAGCTGTTCGCGGTGCAATATGACCTTGAGCACTAACAGCCCGCGCGCTCCTGGGACGCGTTTGGAACCCTCTAACTTGCCTCACTTAGCGTGCGCGGGCTAGGTTTCTATGCGTTATTATTCTAAGTGTACCAGTTTATATGAACCCTGCCATACTGAAACGTGTGTGCCCGCCCGTCGCGCGCTTCAGTGTGTCGGGGTTCATATGATCACCTTAAAAAGATTTAAGAAACATATATTGTAATCTAAAAAGATGCAAATAGTGTAAAAAGGGTAATTTTCAGTAGGTCAATGAATTTTCAAGTATAGTGTTCCAAATTTCGGTGGAATTTGTTATTATTTGAATATGAATGCTTAAGACATTATTTTTCAAAACAGAATATGAATGAATAAGCATTAGAACCGTTACCTAAATATATCAGAACATATTCATATTTTTAACACCCTTGCTCGTAAAGCTGATGTAATTCCACCGGTTTTAAATATGTAAAGCGGGTCATAAAAAACGCGTGTGTTACCAAAGCAAATAGTTAAGTTATAGTCCATACAAATTCCATAACAGTATTATTTGCCATTTCAAATATGGAACTGATCGCCGCCGCACGACTCCAGCTAGTGAGCAGCGCGCTGTTACTATTCAAATTTCGAACAAATCGCCGCGCCCAGTCAGTAGGCAGCGCTTGCGCGCTGTTAAAATGGCGGGAAAGCAACAGTGTGCATTCACAGATTGAGTTTATTTAAAAAAAAAACAAAACAGTTTATTTGGTAATTTAAAAACTTGGCTCAATTAACTCCGCCTCGCATGTTATAACCATCTTTACGCACTAATATCGTAATGTACTATATTAATATTTCACGATGATATCGTCGGTGCTTTGTAAAAAACTTTTCACAAAACACCGACGATATACAAACTTTCACCGAAACAAGGTAAAGAAAACGAACCTGAAAATTACCTTAAAACACAACAGTGACATTTTATAATTATTTATTTATTTACTGGGCATTGCTGTAACACCTGTAAGTGTAAATGCTTTTTCAATGTGATTTTTTTTTAATCTTAAGAAAAGAAGTACATTGGAGTATGGAATGAATTACTACAAATTAGTTACGTTTTTGTAGCGAATGACTGTAAGTTCTTGTCAATATTATTCTATGCAGGCGTCAGCTCTGCTGCCATTAACTTAAACAAAGCAATCGGCATTTTTAGCGAAATGGAGTTAACACAAATCTAGAATCAGTGAACCGAAAGGTCTACAACACCCTGTAAGCGGTTTTTTTATATTTATTTAGTTTCACTTTTATTGCCCTTTGACCGCCATAGACGCTTTCAAGCGCCAATGAAACCATGTTATTTGTATATTCTAGTTAAGTACGGATTCATAGTTGCATTATGAATTCAGTTGTTTTTCTTTAACTTAGGATAATTGCATTAACAGTGTCACGAAAAACAGTTAAAGCTTAATATAATAATAAACGTTGTTCTTCGCGTTTCCTTGTTAAGTTGGCCTTTTTACTTGTAACGCATTTCACAAGAGTCAAGGTATAAGGTGGGTGTCTTGAAAACAAAACGAGTTTTTGTCAATGGCGGTCAAAAGGTTCTCAAAGACAAAAAAAAAATAGATGCCAATATCGCGAAAGTTACCAAAATAAATGCGTTGTTTATGACAAGGAGGGCAGGGCTTGTGTGAATGAATAAAACATCAACATTTAATACATGATAATGTATTTGAAACAATCATCTCTTATCGCGATAGAATATAAATTAGCATGTGAACGATCAGTTACAAAATATATATCAATAATTATAATAACTTACGTTTATCAACTCTCGCGCGCCATTGCTACTAAACAATTTTTTTATTACACCGCCGGGGACCTTTTTATGTGCCCTAGAAACCTCTAGATTCAGTCGAACGCATCTAGGTCATAAGTTTGTACGAAAATTATCATTACCACGTTGGTGAGGCCACAATTATTAACATGAGATAATACTAAATGTTCGTCGTGTTTAGCTTTGTGTAGGAGGATACCTTTTAAGGTTTAACACGTGTAATTTCAACGTATTCCATTTGTTCCAATCAGATATCGCTATTTTACCACAGAGATCATCATTCTCGTCATGGTTCTCAAAGGTTGTGAACCTACTTCAATATGCTGGTTTCATCACAATGTTTTCGTTCATAGTTAGTAAGAGGTATTATTAACTAAAGTAACGGATAACTCACGTATTTTAAGTCGAATTTTTGTTCTACATATTTCGAACCGGTCCATCGTCCTTAACAGTTGATACTACATCAGCTCCAATTTATTTCTTCCCGTACTAATAAGGTTCATTTTGCTTGGGTTGAGTGGCAGGGGCACTGGCTTTATTTCAGAATTAATTTTTTTACAAACGAAAGGAGATCCGCCAAAATGACCCCAGGCCCGGCGCCAAAATAATGTAACTCAGTTTTTAGAGTAAAAATAGCAATAATATTATATAGTTTCGGTATTGCTAAATTCACATGCTAACATAGTTTTTTTGCCTGTTGAATTTTCATAGGCGCTTTATGAAAAATTCTATTTATTAGAGAAGCGTCGTCCTTTTTAGTTCATTACCATTGTAATAAATAATTATGGCATATAAGCATGTATATCAATCATATTATATAAACATATTTCATTTGCAGTTATATTTTTATTTAGAAAAAAAAATAGTATAAACTTCCCATAAATAAATAGAAGAATCAAGTCAAATGTTTTAGTTTTAGCTTTTTGTTTGTATTATATAATGATAAATATATCAACATTCGCATAAAGGTACAACAACAAATACGTTCAAACAAATAATTTAAATAAAGTATATTTGTATTGTTATATTATCGCTTTACGCGACTTTACTTAATGGCCGCATGACCTTCAAGCAATCGGCAAAGAAAGGATGAACACGCACGGATGAACGCACCTGTGACGTGAGGGCACAACTGGATACATCTTATTGTCTCGCTCACATATAATGGTTTAGAGGGAGAAACACGCAGACGCCCGCTTTGCTTTGGCGTGCTCTGCTCACGCGCAGTCCTACGCTAACGTTTGTTGTGTTGTGTACTGTGAACTGTGCGATACCTTACCTTGATCTTTATTTTACTTTGTTTAACCCTCCCGGACTTTTGATTTTCTTGTGAAATGGCAGACGTTTGTATTTTGTGTACACGATCATTACGGCAACGTCGTAGACATTTCATAGTTTACAGTACAGTACATACATGCTTATACGCCATAATGACTAATTACAAGATTAATGAACTAAAAATGACGACATTTCTCTAAAACATTTAATTTTACAAAGAGCCCCTATTAAAATTCAACGGGCAAAAAGACAATGTTAGCATGTGAATTTAGCAATACCGAAAGTATATAATATTTTTGCTATTTTTACTCTAAAAATTGAGTTACATTATTTTGGCGCCGGGCCTGGGGTAATTTTGTATGGGATTTGGCGGATCTCCTTTAAGAAATGTATATCAAAAAAAAAATAGGGTGGTTTGCATTAATATTAGACATAACTAGTTGTGTACCACCTCAGTCAACCGTGACCATGGGACCTGTAAAGGGCCCGAAACGTCGGTTTGTTTGAAAAAACATACGCGATTTAAATCCGGAAAAATAGTTTCATTTCCTATGTGTAACAATCGCGAAAACCTAAGAACTCGAAATGTATGTCGTTATACGTGATCTATTTAGTTCAGTTGATATTAAAAAAATTGTTATATGTAAAGTATCTATTAAATACACCGGCTTTCTTGTAAAATTTCGAGGTAAGTTTGCTTTTTTTTTTCAATCGGGAAAATTTTCACACCGTATATTCATCAGTGTATATCGTAAATTTTACTATATATTACGCCCAAAGTAATTGATTTAACACTTTCGCTGTTATGCGCAATCAACCAAAGCCATTTGGGGTTGTATAGTCTTAATCATGAGCTTCCGCAGCGGTGACTCGCCGAAAACTCGGGAGTTTCCATGCCGAGAAATAATTCGTCTTAAATACGTGAGTGGATAATAAAGTTTAGTTAATAAACGTTCAGAAATGGGTAATTTTCAAGTTAGCTTTCTGTATTTAATTTTGGTGGCAATTTTTATTATTTAAATATTCTAGAATGGTGTTACTTGATATTTGAGATAATATACTGAATATTTTTACAACAGAGTACTAAAAAAAGCTACCTCAAACGTTCGTGGAGTTACATCTATTTGACAAGTTTTATTGAAATCGGTTACCGGAATTTCATCCCCTAGTTTACCTCTCAGGGCGCTGCCTCACCGCGAACATTCGCCTGTAATGTAACATTCAAAATCCGTTTTTAGCGTAGAGGTGGAATATTTTCATCAAATTTAAATGGGACCAATACTGAGGTACCCTCTTTCCAACAAAAAAGAATCATCAAAATTTGTTCACAAATGCCGAAGTTATCGCGTAACATACATACAAAATAAAACAGACGTATTGAGAACCTCCGCGTCTTTTTGTCGTAAAAATTGTCGCCGAAATTAAGTAGACAAGAGCAGCCTGAAAATTACCCAAATAATGTAATAATTACCGAAAATGACCCAAAAAAAACTAGGGAATACCCTCTACCGTGAGTACCAGAGCAACGAGATTCACCCCAGAACACCTAGACCAGAACAATTTAAAAAAGTTCATTTCCCAAATTGGTCATATTGGAAATCGAACCCCGAACACCGAACAGGTTCTCCGCATTCAGCGCCCACAATGTAAACCGTTAGGTCACCGAGGTCGCTAATGTACGTAACTTAGAAATTAAAGTCACAGGTACATGCCGCTACGGGGATTCGTACCGATAGAGATTGCTTCTTTTTCTCACTAGGGTATCACCGCATAGAAATTACCTTTTAAAGGTTGTAATCTCTTTTATTCGGTAAATCTATGTTGTTTTCAAAACTGACAAATTATTCAATGTGTGCGTCAATATTTAACTAGCCTTTACTAGGGGTGCTCCGCCGCCGCACACGCGCATGTTCCTTTTTAAGGTAGGACATGACACCACATTGTTGCTAACAACATGAGCTCCATTTTGTACTCGCAGCTTTTACCGTGAACAGTTTACATCGCTTTCACATTAAACCGTTCAATTTTGCTTGTTCGTTGAAAATGCAGTCTTATTCAGTTTAATTAATTTTATTCTAACAACATTTATAGGTACAACTCTAGATTGAAAACTTATTCACAAAACTATAGGGAGAGAAAATTCTCAGTAGTTCTGTGAAGAAAACTCTATTTAATAACAAAAGGGAAAAAAGTACCAGTACTTCTGTCAACAGAACTAGTGGTAATCATGGACCAAAACAGTGAAAGAATTTGAAGTTAATAAAGATTATTTAGGCTGTTATTTTTCAATGTTTTGGTGTCGTCGTGCCTATGGCGAACTGTAAATATGTTCCACTCAAAATTGAACCTTGTTGTTGTTTGTTTCACTCGTCAAACAACTCCTATGTCCTATAATAAGTAATTATCGACAGATTCCTTATTTTTTTGATTGATTATTGTCATGAGACAGTATCCAACCTATATTAAAAAGACAATAATTATCAATATTTTGGATGTTACTATCTCATTTGACTGATCAGGACTTAACAACGACCTTGAGCCGTATCTTATGAGCTACCCTTTATAAGTCCCACTGTTGGGCACGGGTCTTCTCTGTAGTATTTAAGCCGTAGTCCATGTATGTTTGTTTCTCCATACGCAGGTTTCATCATGATGCTTTCCCTTACAGTTAATGAGATGTATTGCTACAAATGTACTTTAATATTAGTACAGATATAGCCACAGGGATCCGAACCGTCGTCCTCTAAATTGAAAAACGACTGTTCTCACACTAGACTACCACCGTTCGTTTTTTTTTAAATACGAAGTGACGGGACGAAGACGTTGTGCGCCTGGTGGTAAGCGACACACCTATCCATAACAGTTGCAATGCTACTTAGACCTTCAGATCGTAAAGATCTTAGAGTCACTGCCACTGTCACCCAGAAATAGGTAAGGTGGCTGTACTTCCCTGGACGAACTCTTTCACATTTATTCATAAGCAGTTATTTTTATAACTGTCCAATAGTGCGTTATCGATAATTGATGTATAATTAATTGATATTTATTAGTAAAGACATTTGGCGTACGCACGAGATGGCAGTCACGTGCAGCCAAGCTGCAGTCATAGGGCAAATAGGGCAACTCCCGCCTGTTTGGCGAGTAAATGACTACATATCGCACGAATAGGGTTGTCACATTATTATTTTAATTGCGTCTACAGGTTGTAAACATAATTTGAAAAAAATTAAGGTCTTCATCACGCTATTCTCGTGCTATATTGAAATAGCCTTTATCAATAAATGCAGTACTAACAAATTGATTTTCAGTATTTTTTCTTTGCTATTTTATATTCAAAGCCATAACATGACGACTTAAAGACATTATTGATATTTATGTCTCGATTATACTACAGTGATTATGACTTCTATATTTATGGCACTCCAGTTCAAACAACCATAAACATAATAATAACTACGTCTTACTTGGAGCGCACGCGCAGTTTTCAACGCGAAGCGAATTTGATTATGCGTCCGTACCAGGGTCTTGAGCATTCAAAAGCCCTGATAGCTGTAAGGGAAATTCTGTCACTGGACATGAACGGCATGCTTACTAGAGCTTTAACAGAGCATTTAACATGCACATGTCAAATATTGGGCCGAGAGAAAACAGAGAATATAGATTCTGCCACGAGGCGGATGAAACTCCTGTGCAACTCCTTATCCGCTTCTGCCCTTTAACGGACGTACGAAGTTCCATACAGGGAAGGCATGGGCCACACCCAGAGGACATAAAAAGTGTCAGAGCAAGCAAGGTCCTTCAGTCCTTTAATGCTGTTGGCATTGGCTCCGAACTGTTGGTGATCACAATAGATCATAATGCAGTGATGATAATAACTGGGTTAATTCCAGTCAACATCGCTAGCAGCTTGAGGCGGTTGGATTACTCTAGCGTATCGCTTTGAGCACAAATGCTGAAGGCGGTCATGGTCGATACGGCACGTATTGTTCGCCGGTTCTTGAATCTGAGTCCCTGACTGACTGAGCCATTGCCGGGGAAAACCGCGTCTCCCATTTAAAAATTCATAATTAATCATTTAGGCTTTGGGAGTAGCGACATTGTAAAAGAAATGCATTGACTTACAATTATATGGACGTCGGGTCCGCGCTAAAAAGTGTCCGAACTTATAGGGCGTTAAAATCGTATACAGAGCGTCATTCACACTTTAGTCTTCGTTTGTTCGACTGACAGCGAAGCAAGCAAAATTAGACAGTACTGCGATGACATTACAATTTAAATTTAACGTTTTAGCTTTTTCATATTCCTTTACATGTCACTACGTTTAAATAGGTTGACTTGGGACATTTTTTTCGTGGTTTTTGTATTAGACCCGTCGTCGTCATTTATTTGTAAGTCAATGAAGAAATGATAACAATAATAATGCGTCCGCACATGGGGTGCGGCGGCGTGCACACATACAAGCCGCAATGTCACATTTGTCATGATAGATAAGTCAGATAAGATGCTATAATCTCGTTGCAATCGAAGTTAAACTACAATACACACCACTACAATTTTGTTACCTTACTTAACAATCATATCGCTGTTAGGTTTACAGTAATCGTTAATATTTGTCTGCCCAATGTTACGATTATGCCCTTTGAGAGGACTGTGTCCAACAGTGAACTAATAGAGACATGATGATCTGTAATTTTGTTATTCCATCTTGCAAATATATTTATAGCAAGAAATAATGATAAACAGGCGAAAGCGTTAACAATACAATGAAACTATTTGCTGTCATTACCATCAACGATTATTCGGCTATGGTACCCCAATATGAGGATATCGTACTAAAGAGCAAATACACCGTGTCACGATTACTTATGGGTAGAAACCGGTATATTAGCTCACAAGCACATCATGTTCGGTTTACTCTTGTTATATTTGTGTGAAACAGGGCCCAACGAGTAGTGGCGCCCCCGGCGGCGACGCGAATACTAAAACTAGTGGCGTACTGATCACTGTCACCTCTCTTCCACGCACACAGCCACTCCCACTTGTCGCATTCCCTCTTGTACATCAGCCCCTGGAAGCAATGGAACATACATTACATGATAGTGCAGGAGGTTGGGGGCGGGGAGGATATAGTGCCTAGTGGTCAATTCACAAACGCAACTGCAATCGGCCGTTATTCCAAGCTTTACTTGGCATTTTTCTTTAGCTATAGCTATATATTGTTAATATTGTTATTAATACAAAGACGAAGAACACTAAGAAAAAAAATCGTTTGATTCAGCTGGATTCGAGCCAGCGTTTTCAAGCATAGCGTGGCAGACGCTCTCCCAACTGAACTACGGAACTAACTATCACAAACTTTTTGGTTTTTAAGAGTCTATAGAACCCTAAATGGTTATGGTTGATTCCGCAAAACAGCGAAAGTGTTAAATCGATTCCTTTGCAAAGAAATATATAGTAAAATTGAGGATATATCCATCTCTCCTACGTAAAATATCGTATGTCGAAATTACCAAGTTTACATGGGACCGTTTTAAAATTTGAATTTACTGAAATGGGCATAACACGTGACTTTAGCATTTCTCAGTTTTATTCGGCAAAGATCGTTACTTTAAAATTCGTTCTCGAATAAAACTGAGAAATTCTAAATTTACGTGTTATGCTCAGTTCAATGAATTCAGAAGTTTAAAACGCTTCCCTGTACTTGGCAATTTCGACATACGATACTTTACGTAGGAGGGGTCGATATATACACTGATTAGTATACAGTGTGAAAACACGATTCCAAAAAATGTTTCAATGGAACTGTTGCATTAAATAGGTACTTTACATATAACAATGCTTTTTTCAACTGAACTAAATAGAAGACGTATAATATATGATATACATTTTTGAAATTGCTTTAACTTGGTTTATAAAAAAATTAATTCTGAAATAAAGCCAGTGTCCCTGTTGCCCGCGCCAAGCAAAGAACCATATTAGTATGAGAAAAATTTTAATTCAAGTTGAGATAATATTGACTCTTAACAACTTTTTTTGCCATAGAGCCATCTGTGAGAAACCTATTTCTTAACTCGGCTATATTGGTACACTGGTATTACGGTAGTAAAACATTGTGACATTCAATGAACTTAAAAAATATCAATATTAGTCATAGCCAATAAAATTAATACATTATTCTAAAGAAAATAATAAGGGTTGGGCACAAATCACAGTCCAAAACCGTTGTTTGCAAATTGTACCATTTGCAATGCAAGTTGAATTAAATATAAGTTTGTAAATGGAATCAAATAATAAATACAATAAAAAATTAAGAAATAGCTCCAATTTATGGACGCTTGCAATGTCATTTTGTATGAGACAATAGAACAAAACTTACACATATATGTTATTTCCTAGCCTGCAGCGCATTAGACAGCCAATCCATTGCTTGGTCGAGTCCCTCGCCGCGCACCGCCGAAGTTTTGAAAATCTGGAAGGTGCGGTCACGCAGTGCGTCCAATCCTAACGCTTGGTGGACCTCAGCTACCGTCAAGCACCCTGCCATATCTTGTTTGTTTGCTAGGACCACCAAGATCGCGTTTGCTAGTTCTTCTTCCTAACAAATAAGTATTCAAGAGGTCAATTACAGATGATGTGAATTCATTAAAAAACAATACAATGAACTTATGGAACTGCAACAATGCCAAACTTAATTTGTTTACCAATGCCATACAAACATTATATTTTAGTCATTTGCTAATTTGTTTACTTCACTTATATCTAAAAATACCAGAAAATTATTGTTAAACAATATTTTAAAATTGCATTTTAGTCAAAACTACCATTGTGGAACAAATAATGTAGAGAATCAATTTATGAATGCCAAACCTGACCGCAAAGTTGATTACAAATGTTAATTATTGAAGTAGCTTACTCTTAACATATGCACAAGTTCATCTTTGGATATTCCTATTCGATCTCTGTCTGCTGAGTCTACCACATAGATGATTGCATCTGTGTTGCCGTAGTAACACCGCCAGTATGGCCTGGAAACATCAGAATTAGTTTTCTTTTTAAAAATCATTGAAATAAATAGTGCTTCGCAGAACTCTGGAATGCAGTAACATGTTGTACAACATATTTGTATGTCAAAATTTAAAACATTTCAGCATACTCAAAAAGGTGTTATCATCATTCTATACCAATAATTTGAGCCACTGCTGGGCATTGGTCTCTTTTAAGGGAAAGGTTTAGGTTATAATCTGTTATGCCGTCCCCATATAGTTTGAGAACTTTATATGTGTTCCAATAGTTAAGTAACTTTCTTCAACGTGCAGGTTTCATCACATTTTCATTCAGTTTAGCAAGAGGTATCACCAGTAACAGTTCAAATTCAAGCTTCACATCAGTGAGCTAGGAGAACCAAGCATAAAGTACACAACCTGTAATGATACAATTTGCTATGTAAGCAATAAGCTACGTCTCCAAAAAGGTGTGAATAGTAAAGATATAGCATAAACTATGATGACTGAGCAGTGAGAATGATGACCCTTAACTCCTAACACATTCTATGGACGTACATGGGTCCGTAATGCATTTATTAACTATAGCATCTTGTGGATGCATGATGGCCCACAGCGAGCACACGGTGATTGGAAAATCATTTTTGCTAGTTTCAGATTTTGTTAAGCTTGTAAAATTAATTGTATTGCAAAAAGCTATTAATACTTGAATGTACATTTTCATGATTTTATTTTATTAGATTTATGATTGTAAATGTCCCCCCTAAAATGCCCCATCCTGTTAATATTACTGTTAACATCCTGTTATTATACTAACTGCCTCCGTAGCCGAACGGATACCATGATGACCATGCCGGACTGCCACGCAGAGGTCCCAGGTTCAATTCCCGGGCCGGGAGAAATAGTTGTATGGCCTACAATTATTTCTCTCGTGAGTTTGGGTGTAATTTGTGGTTGTCTATGTGTGTGTCCATGGCACCCGCGACACAGGGTTTTGCTAGTGTGGGGCTATGTTGAGTGTGCGTTATTTATAATTATTATTATATTATATTAAATATCAATTTTCTCCTAATATTAGCCCACTCTCCCTTTGTGTATGTCCTGTGTAAATTTATTAAAAATAAAATTTCTATAATAGTCTGTGTAAGTTGTCTCTTGTTCTGGATTCTCCTCTCAGTGATTTCTGTCGAAATTCACCAGTCAAATTTTGAAATATGTGTGTGTTCCTCAACTCAACATAGGCAGAATGATTGATGGTATTGATGGAGCTATAACATTATAAAAAAGAAGAAGACTGTAAATGTACACAGGGATATTTTTAAAACACAAACAACCTCACAAGACTATGACATCATACTGCCGTCCACTAACTAAATCGTAGCTAAGTGACAAATGGTCAAATATCCTTTTTAAGTAGCATAAGATAGAGAACAAGATTCTCTTTTAAAAACAGTTAAAATTAGTTATTTAACATGTTTGACTTATTGGAATTTACTCTAACAATGTATAGCTGAAATATCATTAAACAATTGCAATATTCTAAAACTGGGTTACGGCTTTTTAATGACATTTAAAAAAAAAATTGTCACTTAGCCTAAAAAGGCAGCATAAACAACACCTTTTGTTCCATGATTTAATAATTCAGCAGATTTTACTTTCACACAAAAATAAATACATTTAAATAGATCACTCTAAAAGGTAATAATCCTGTGCAGCATGGGGTGGAAGTCATCGCGGAGTATGCTTGCACGTTTGAATTTATTCTACCAAATATAGATCTAAAAACTGTTAGACAGTACAACAAAAACTTAAAAGTTTATTTTTAGGAAATTTATTATGTTTTGTAAAAAGTCTATGAACAAACATTGTTGTTTATGATGTAGTAACATAGTATTTTAAAAATAACCCCATTCACTAAATATTGTGGAATATTAACAAATTCCTATAAATGTAATGCGATTGGTTATTGACAGAATACATTTGATTAGGAACATAACCTATATGAGTAACAGTATTCATCCATATACTCACCTAATGCTTGTTTGTCCACCAAGATCCCACACTTGGAACTTAAGATTTTTGTACGTTACTTGCTCCACATTGAACCCGATTGTTGGTATGGTCGTCACCACCTCCCCGACCTGTAGTTTGTACAGAATTGTCGTCTTCCCGGCACCGTCCAAACCGAGGATCAGAATTCTCATTTCCCGCGCCCCTAGCAACCCTCTGAAGTAACTAAACAAGCCACCTAAAATACACTCACGTCTTAAACATAGTATCACCCGTTACTAGCTAATAAAACTCGTTTTATTACAACAAAATCACTCACCCATTTTCTTTGATAAGCTTAGCCTATTAACACATCAGTATAGAAGGTATGGAATGATTATGTATTTCTATCTACACATCCAAGAGACCCGAAGATGCTTATTCTTATTTCAATGTTATGGGAAGCGTAATTTATTAGATTTTAGAGAAGAAATTCCAACATTTTATCGAAAATTGCAACTCTCCATTTGACGTGTAAGCAACCACTCATTTTTTTTGTTGCCAGAGCAGACGACCTGAAACGACATAAAACGTGTAAAAAAAATAACACAAATTTTTGGTTTCCTGATTTTCTTTATAGTACTTTACAGTGAAAAAATGCAATATCCATATATCTCAAATTTTGTTGATTTCACTTTATTTACTAAGTTTTCTTTGTTTTGAAGAATTGATTTGAAGAAATGGCAATACATTTCGAACTTTTAAATTTCCTAGACATCAAATGCATACTAACTATTCAGCCAAAGTTTGAAGAGCTTGCAAAGTTGACAATAATCTGATTATTTTAATTTAATATGGGTCGTAAATGTATTAAATGAACGTGAAAAATTAAATTAATATTTTTTTCGTTACTTATTTCAGTTTATTGTAAACGCCTATTTAAAATTGATAGCAAAAATATTCGGAGAACGTTCAGAAGCATCTTTTATTATTATTATAATTACGTTTGTTTACTTTCTATGTATTTTTAACCGACTTCAAAAAAGGAGGAGGTTCTCAATTCGACTGTATATGTTTTTTCTTTGTATGTTACGCGATAACTCCAGCCTTGTGAACGGATTTTGATGATTCTTTTTTGTTGGAAAGAACGTATCTCAGTAGTCAATCAGGTCCATCCCACCTTTAAGAGTGGCAACCTAGGGGATTAATGAGTTTTGAGGTCAGTTCTGTAGTACATATTCTGCACTGAAATTATAAACTAAAATAAGGAAGTGAACACCAATAATTACTGAAACTGCCACAATTTTTCAACTTGTTAATTAGCCTTACAGTGCATCTTTTCGTATCTGTTTGCTATAGGTTAATGTCTTTTGTTCCAAAAGGAGTTTTAAAAAGCTTTGAAGTTTTAAAAATAGTATTGTACGATAAAAGCAATCTAAAACTCTGCGAGTCAAATCGTCACAGTTTTTTTTATCGTTTGGTTTAAAGGGTGAAGGAAAGCATCTGTAGGCATAGAGGTGTTTATAAAATTCTTCGAGCCGTAAGAGCATTGGATCTTGTTTGGACTATACTCTTTCCTCATATAAATAACGTAATTAAATTTGTTTATTTTGGTAGTAGGGGAGAGCGGGGCTGAACGTTTCGATTTTCAAATACCTTGCAGTTTTATACTGAAATGAAGGATTTGATTTTCAACAGTGGAAATGTTGAACAAATGCTTTTTGTAATAGTATAGTCACTTCTACTAATATCTCAATAGTCTTTCTCATAGAGGCAATTTTTTGACAAATTTCGGAGCGGGACATTCAGCTCTGCTTTGGGGCGCGTTGTTCCGCCTTTGAGGCAAATTGCTCCGCCTAAATTATGACAGAATGACAAAGATTTTCTTAAATAAAACCTCCTATTTTATAATTGTACGTTTAGAATAATAACGAATAGAATGTTAGTTTCATATCAAACGAACTGTCACAAGTGAAGCAAAAATCAAATTCATGTAGGCTAGTTTTAGTAGTAGGTTAATTTTCGGTTTTAGTGAATATTTATATAAAAATACAAGTTGAAATGCGTTACTTCCTTGTAGAACGTGATGTTGGTATCTATATTATGTTTGTCTGATGTATTTTTACATTCATTTACCGCACATTTCGTCATTTTTACCTAAAATTCTTGAGTTGTTCGCGGTGCAAGTTGACCTTGAGCACTGAAGGCCCACCCGCTCATGAAGCGCTCCCAATGGGTAGGCCCATTGGGAGCGCTTCAATTTGCCTCACTTAGCGTGTGCGGACTAGGTTTCGATGCGTTATTATTCTAACATTGTACGTATGTAATGTTTATATTATGCACAACTAACTTAAAAAAAAACAACTACATTCTTATTCATCAGTAATGTTGTTCATCCCTCGTTTCTTCATCTCAATCACAGTTGAGACACATATAAGTGACTCTATCATCTTGTCTAAATATTCGACATGAGCTCGTTTGTAGTTTGGCATCCTTAAAACAAAGAAAAATGGTCATAAAAATTTTAAGTATGATTGCAGGTCAATGGAGGAAGTTGTTCCTAGGAACAACCAGCCCCTCGAGAGAGGCACTTATAGCCCCAAATCACGTTTTTATACGAAGACTGACTGACTGAAGAGGTTCATCTCACCTTCAAGGATGATCTCGTATACCTTTCCCCCATTAACTATTCAAGGAAAGGAATAATACTAAAGAATACCTACCTAGGTATCTACGTTGCCGCATACAGACAGTGATGTTATTGTAACCTTACTATTTTAACAGGAAATACCTTTGTGTTCCAATGAATGATCTACCTTATTCTTCATGCTCGTGACGTAGTTATTACTGCGTCACGTCACACACGTGCCTATTATGACGTCACACAAAACAATAAAGCGTAGGCCATACCGCGAACGAAGCTACGCTAACTTAGCTCAGCTCACGTAGTTGCATGCAAAGCTAAGCTAATACGTAGTAACTAGTGACGTGCTACACAATGGATACGTGCGGGGGTGAAGGGCGACAGGAGGGCGAACATACCAACGTTTCAGGCCCTTTACAGGTCCCATGGTTACGGCTAACTGGGACCGTGACCTCAACCATGGGACCTTCAAGGCCTGAAACATTTGCTTGACGAATTAAAAATATAATTTCATGTAGTTTTAATAGCTATTAAAACGTAATCAGCTAAACAATATAACATTTACATTAACTCTCTATCGTTTTCAAATAGCTAAGAAACGAAAAACAATATAACAATATTTTCTTTTATGTCCACAAATTACAGAAGTCAAAAATTTTATTGTAAGAGAAGATGATTTTAATAGCTCCTTGTGAAAGAGTTCGTCCAGGGAAGTACTGCCACCTTACCTATTTCTGCCGCCCAGCAGTAATGTCCGCATTACTATGTTCCGGTTTTGAAAGGTTAGGGTGCTGGTGAAATTACAGGCACAGGGGACTTTTCAACTTATGTCACATGTATTGTGATGCTCAGTGGCAGTGCCCTTTGAGCGTCACAACAACTGCTATCGACAGGCGTGACGCTTACCATCAGGCGCACGACTTGTTCGTCCCGGCACTTGTACCATAAAAAGAACACATTCATGCATTTTATCTATATCTAAGTACATAAAACAGTACAAAATACCTCATTATAGGAATATATACATATCTACACACACACATATATATAGACGCAACAAAACATGACGCATTAATAAGACATTACTAGCGAGTTAAATACAGATTCGTTAAAATATTTCTGGAGCCAACAAACGGTTATTTTTAACTAAATCCGCGAAAATAGAAACTGAATCACGTGGAGTAAATGTAGAATCGAAGTTAACGTAAAAATCCGCAATTATCTTTAACATGTTTATCTTGTGCCGCGTGGGATGTTTGAACATTTCACACAAACATGATTTCGCTTTCTATCGATTTATTTAAAACAAATTTCGACAAATCTGTCTTGAGCCGATAAGTTAATACATAAAGGCGAACACAGATGTCAATTGACATGACCATAATAAATAAGATTGTGATGATCGATATCCAGGTGTAATTACATAATGAAAACGAAAATTACAACTGATAAACTACAAACATGATATCCAGTGATCGTAATCATATACGTCAATTACGTTAAATTAAATGGATCGATTGCATCAATTCGTATTTGTATATTTTTAGATTGTTATCTCGGCTATATGTTGTAATTAAATAAAAGTTAGTATATTTTTTTATTTATTATATTAAATTTAATTAATTAAACAATTACAAATGACAAGCATCTGTTACAATTATGTAACTTTTGCTAGGAATAAGTTTTTTAAATTTTTTATTCTAATGTACCTAAGTGTTCATTTGACCTCCATCTCACCTGATGGAAAGTGACGATGAGGTCGACGATGGAGCATGCACACCTAAATAATGCCTATTCACTCTCGCCTTGAAAAGGTTCAAGTTATAACGTTCAGGGAATAAGTCTGCAGGCAGGGAATTCCACCCCATAGCCGTTCGCTATATAAATGCCAAAGCGTAACGCTTCATGCGAATCTTTGGAATATCCACAACATAGGGGTGGAAGCCAAGCCTACGCCTAGTCCCCCGGTGATGGAAAGGCGAAGGCGGAATTAAATCGTGTAATTCCATCTCACGCTCTTTGTGATATATCCTGTAAAATACCGATAACCAGGCAACTTTAAGGCGGTGTTCAAGGCTCCGCAGCTTCGCCTCTACTAATTCCGAGTCACCTATAAGCTTCTTAGCACGGTTGTCAATTGAATCCAAGGTGGCCTGTTGGTAATAGTATGTAGCAGAGCTATCCCAAAGGTGGCAGCAGTACTCCATACACGACCGGACTTGTGCTTGATACAGCTGAAGCAACAGTCCCGTTGTGAAGTAACGCCTCACCCTGTAAAGGATGCTATGCTTCCTGGCTGCATTTTTGGCCATGGATTCAATGTATCTGCGAAGTTCAGATTGGATGACAGGTCCGTTCCAAGTAGTTGGAGACGGTCGGCTATCGGTATGGATGTATCACGAAAAGTCGGAGTCAGCTCAAAGGGACTCCGTTTTGCAGAGAATAGACACGTCTGCGTTTTGGTAGCGTTAAATTTGACAAGGTTGGCATCGCCCCAATCAGAGACTGCCTTGTGCGTCAAATCTAAACGGCTAACCATGGACTCTCGACAAGGCTGGATTTCCTCTCCACTGACCCTTGCATTGGTCAAGTACCTATCTACAACTGTGCTGTTATCAGCATACACAAAGGTACCTGGAATTAACATATCATTGATATGCAGCAGAAAGAGAGTGCAGACAGTATGGAACCCTGAGGAACTATCGCCATATGTTCGGAAGACTTCTAAGACCACTCGAATGGAACGTTCACTCACGAAATCTGAGATCCAATTGCAAAGGTCAGTGGGAAGCCCATAACATGGAAGCCGTCGAAGGCTTTAGAAATGTCCAAAGAGACTGCAAGTGCTTCGCCTAAATTTCTATAGCCTCACTCCATATGAGACAGGCATACACAAGAAAATCCTCAGTAGATCGCCCTCGTCGGAATCCGTACTGGCGATCACTGAGGAGGTCGTTGTCTTCAAGGTATGAAAGGAGACGGTTGTTGAGTACACGTTCCATAGTCTTGCAGAGTATGGAAATGACTGAGATAGGTAGTTGACAGGGTCAGCTCTGTTTCCCTTTTTGGGCACAGGTTGCACGTTTGCAAGTTTCCACGACCTAGGAACGTGAGAGGCGCTACAGGTGTGTGAGAACAGGAGTCAACTCAGGCGCACAGTTACGTAGGATTACCGCTGAAATTCCATCAGGCCCGCTAGCTTTATTCACGTCCAGATTCCGCAGAGTTCTATGTACCTCTTTTTGGCGTATGCGAACTGGCGCCATAAAGGACCGTGACCACATTTCAGCCGGTTTTCGTAATATCTATTCATGATAATTTTAATAACGTATATTGGAAAGCTTTTTTCGCGTGAGCTTTTAATGAATTATGAAATTATTTTATGCGCATTGCTCGAAGAGCCACGAAGGCATCAAATAATTAAGAAACACGAAACGTAATGTACTTATACTGTAAATTAATTTGTGTAAAAACTGAAATTCCAAAAAAGACTGCATTTTTTACTTGCTCGTTGCGTTTTTTATCACGAGTGATGTCGATTGGTAAAATAAGATTGTAATTTATTGCTACACCTGTAAAACAACCGGAACTGTGGCTGCCAAACTGCGTAAAACCACACCTTGAACTTGGACCTAAGTAACGGCTCTGGTGAAAACTATAACTTAAAGCAAGATGTTTCTTTGTTTAAGTAATATTTTCCTATTTATTTCGATGTAAAGGAAGATGGGGAAGTCGCTATGAATATATAATGTATTTTCCTGGAGCAATTATGATTACAAAGTTATTTATCTCGGATGCAGAACTATAAACGAACGATATTGTCTAATGTTTAATAACATGATAAATGAAACGGTGACTAATTGTTGATGTGTTATGCAGTTTACACGCGCGGCACAAATTTGTATTTTAGTTTTTGTACAGAATTTAACATACAAAAAAAAATAATTTCAATAAATAATAAATAATAATAATAAATAATAAAAAATAAATAAATAAATAAAAATTTCACATACATAAAATTAACAGCGCAATCTACGAATTAAAATTAAACATTAAAGATTTTTGACAACATAAGGCCTTTAAGGTGATTGTTGTTTTTTTTAAATTGTATTAGATTTAATATGTCTTTAAGTACCTAAGTTTCGTGAAACTAAGTTCCGTGGAACAGTACTTTTTTACGATAACAAGCCGCGTGGTAAGCGACACGCCGCCTGTCCATAACAGTTGCAGTATCACTCAGAGCTTTAAATCGCAAAGATCTGAGGGGCACTGCCACGGCGCCCGTCACCCTGAGACATAAGTTGACAAGTGCCTGTAATTTCACCAGCACCTTAAAAACCAAAACGCAGCAATGCGCACATTACTGCTTGGCAGCAGAAATCGGTAGGTTGGCAGTACTACCCTGGACGAACTCTTTCACAAGAACCTCTTCTGCTACTGAATTTTAGAAGGCGATGAGTAACTGATCCGCTTTTGATACCCATGTTTGTCGTGATAATATTATGTTACTTGTGCAATGTAAAGGTCGCCTTGTTTGATAAACGCAGTTAGTAACTGAAATGTAATCTATGAGGAAAACGCAAAATGTAGGTATATGCATATTTACGCTAAACGAAATAATATTATGTTCGTTGTAAATGATCATGTAAATAGATAATGCTTGAATGATGTAATCAAAATATATTGTACCTCCATAGAAATACACATATCAAAAGTGTATAGGGATCAAGTACCTACGTTTTTGTTAATTACTGAATATCAGGTTTACAATTAAGTTTGTTTACATCAATGGTTTTTTGTCAATACTTTCAAAAATATCTCATCCCTAGACACTTTTGATGAGTGTTATAACATTGACCTACCAACATCAACGCCAACTACCAAATCAATAAGCATTATCGGAAAGGAAACTATGTTTACGGATCTATACTTATTTTTCTAACCAACCAATATTTCGGGCAAAAATGGGATGGTTTGCATTAATATTAAACAACTGGTTGATGACTTCAAAACTATCTCAATCAGCATTGACCATATAAAGGGTTCGAAAATAACCTCAGTACAGAGTAGGTACTAAAAAAATCGACCTCAAATTCGTGAAATTTGCCAAGTTTTATCGAAATCGGTGTCCGAAAAGTGCGCAAAACCGGATTCATCATAGGTGTTCATACGTGAACAGCCACCCCTTTTTTTTTTTTTTTTTTTTTGGGGGGGGGGGGAATCTTTATGGATACCCCTGAGCCCAGGGAGACTCAGGGGTTATGTGGGGACTCTCCCTCCAAACTGGAGGGACTAGAACAGCCACCCCTAATAGGTGGAATATTTTCTTCATAATTAAATGGGACCACTATAGGTAGGTACCCTCTTTCCAACAAAAAAAGAATCATCAAAATCGGTTCACAAATGCCGGGATTATCGCGTAACATACATAGAAAAAAAAGCACCGTCGAATTGAGAAGCACCTCCTTTTTTGAAGTCGGTTAAAAATAGTTCATTTCTAATTCCTACATTTTATATTATTTTATATTTATTTTCTTTGTAGTTTTCGCTTTTGATTTCAATATTATGATAAATGATCGTGTTGTCAGTAGATATCAATTTTGTACACGACAACCAGCCGGAGCAGGGTTGATCTCTACTACCACTCAAGCATTAAAACTAAACGTGAATTTTGTTGTGATATCATCAGCATTCTTGGTCCCAAAGCGTGTTGACTGGCTGGATCAACCTTTCACATTCCCCTGCAATACGCGGGAACTAAAATGTCCGGCACTCTTATATACACAGATACTTTTTATTTTTCTTCTACAATGACTAACGTCCACTTCGTGTTTGGAAGGTTCAATATACTTGATGAAGTCAGATAAGTGAGTCATATGACTAGGTTAATGTTCTTGTTATCCAGATCATGTTTGAACTTAATGCTATTGTTGAACTGTTTCCGTTAAGTCAAGTTAATGTTTACGCAGTTTTTTAACGCTAGTATTTACATTACATTACGTGGAACACAGAGAGCGGGAGCGGGTCGGGTCGGGACCGCGTCGGGTCATATCCGTGTGTTTATATGGACGACATTACCCGAGCGCGGACGGGGGACTTAAGGAAATGTAAAAGGCAGTCTCACGGAAGCTAGTTTATTGTATAGTCTGAAGTCTAGTACAAGAAGAACCTGGAGTATTACTACAATGAATCTTATTTTTTTTATTAAAAATAAGTGCGCCTTTGACCTCCATCTCATCTGATGGAAAGTGATGATGAGGTCGACGATAATAATATACACCTACGACCTAAACAATATTTAAACGACCTAAATAATGCCTATTACTCTCGCCTTGAAAAGGTCCAAGTTATAGCGTGAACCGATAAGCAGGCAACGTTACGGCGGTGTTCAAGGCTCTGCAGCGTCGCCTCAACTAATTCCGAGTCACCTACAAGCCTTTTGGCACACTGGTCGATTGAATCCAAGAATATATACTAATTAAAGTAACAATATTTGCGCTAAAAGTTGCAATTTTACAATTTAATATATAAGTTACACGAGGTGCAAACTCTAACTAATCTAGGTAAAACAAACATTTGAGGACGCTGAGGCAGCATCCTTAAGTTGTGCGCCCGCCCATGCCCGCGCTCGGTGTGTTGTCGTCTATATAAATACACGGAATTAGACCCGCCGCGGTCCCGACCTGACCCGCACCCGACACTTAACCGCTCTCTGTGTGTTTCACGCTTTAACCAACACACGTCTTGACTTCCCTAATAACGTACAGTACACTCATCTTCGCAATTTGGATTTTGGAACAATGCACAAATTAGAAAGATGGAACAATGTTATCGTAATAGAGACAGCAACTCAAAAGCATTCGAAAATACTTAAATATGTATGTATAATAAAGATTTATAACAGTGCTACAAATATATTACAAAATTATTGTAACAGTAAAGTCGAGACACATCAATGTTAACACTTTGGACCTTGAGCCATTCCTATCATAAGCGGCATAGAGTTGAATTTAAATCTTTAATGTCAAGCTTGATGTACTATGGTCCCGTTTTTGTATTTGCCAATGTTGAATTGTTTGTACTCGGTCTTTCACGTTGATACATGAGGCGGTACAGATGTTTAGCGTCTATGTTGACCTTTGAAGTTTCTTTCCAATAGGCATCAGATAAACACCATTTCATGCCATCGTTACCCATCCACCATTTTCTAAATTTCTTTATAACTGGTGCGTTCTTGCCGTAGTTCGTTTGAAGTGCTGCACACAAGTGGCACAAAGGATGACAGTCGTTCGTTGGTGAAGATATAGTGTAATGGTTTCTCCACTTGAAATATTGCTCGTAATTAGTTTGGTTTACCACCGCTTGAAGTATTATCACGGCCAAGTTGTACTGGTTAAGTTTGTTCGCGTCTATGTACGAGCCTGGTGGTAGGAACCTGAGGATATAATTCTCTATTAGTCGAAATATTGATGTCGATTCGAGCAAACGCAAATTTAGTCTAAGTTCAGTGCATCTGTTCCTTATTAAGTCAACAAGTAGAGCACAGATCTCATTGCGTCATTCAAAGCTTTGCAACGTCTTGTCGTGTAAGGCAGAGACTGCGCGGAAGGTCACCCATGCGATGGCCCGATCAAATAAAATTTGCAGTGGGAGGTTCTTTGCGCCAGGAAGTCCATCAATACAGATGGCGAGACATCATGAGGCGAGCCATAGCAGGTTCTGTCAAACATACTCGTATTTCGTGATGACCACGACCAATCTGTCAAGAGTGCTATGAAAAAGAAGAAGAGAATTTGACACCTCTATAATATAAATGTTAATACGGAATCCTCTACATTTTTCTTATTTAAAATGAAAGAGACAAACTCACTGAACTTAAATTAAGTTTAGTATGCCAGATTTGAAGCCAGTTAAGTAGATAAGCCAGTAATGTATATTTAATCAGACAGATGCGTTACCTAGAATAGTTAGCTCCCCCGTAAACAATAGGTACTGCCAAATTTTCATATCCGTGTAAAACCTTTTCCGTCACATAATCTTCCTCAATTGAATTTTCAAACGCAATGTAAAAGAAATAATTTTCCCTTATAAGTTTCCCACAATTGTTATTTGGGCACTTCCTATAAGAACATCGTCCGTACACATCTATTCTTAATGAAAAATACAGTAAAATTTCTTGCAAAATATGCAAGTAATCTTCTCTGACGCTATTAGTTGGACAATGGCTCACAATCCAAATAGCTGCTTTCGTTTTCTTGGACAAAACACTTTTTAAAGCTGATTGGATAGGAGATGTGATGTACTGGTAGCTGTTGTCCCAAACAACATCGAGACTCGGAGCTACGATAACTCCAGATTGGTCCCTCACTATGAAGTAAGGCCACGGTATATGCGAGTCTAGCCTGTGGGTTAAAGTCCAATTGAAGAAATTATCATTAAATTCATCACAAACTGGTTCAGTGCACGACGATTCGTATGTGGCAAAGATATAAATTTGGCTATTTGATCGGACGCTTGGTCTGTTTCCACGTGCTAAAGTATATTGCGGAAAAATAATTGCATCAAAATAAGAGGGATAGGCGTTGTATGGAGGCCGTTTCTTCAAGAAAACACAATTTCGTATAGGACAATTTAAAGTTGGAAACACGCTTCTTCCTCCCTTCCAGAATAAATTAATATGGTCCCACAAGAGAATATATTTTGTTCCTTTAGGTAGTTTGGCTGACTTAACAGCTTTAGATATTTCCACCATTAAACTGAAAATATAGTGAAATGTGAAACCGAGGACGAATATGATGAATAATGAAAGTAGGCAATTGCTCCACAGACGTAAAAACTTCATAATACTTAGAAAATTAAAGTTCTCAGGAAAATAAATACATTTATAAATATTCAAAATTGTAAGTATCGAACTATATATTTATTATCATTGTGTTATTGACCTTCCTGTGTCAAAGTCACTTTGGCAGAAAATAAAGCAATCCGAAGTTTCAATTATCGTCATCTTAGAGGTGAAAAAAAAAAAAAGTCTAAGATCGGAATACAGTAATCTGGACTTCGTTTTGTTTAATTTCTTTGATTTTTTTTATTATAGGTTGGTGGAACATACTACGATATGGTTGAGGATAATAAGTCTAGATCACAGCCGTTTTGAATCAGAATTACGAAGTTGATGTCGCTGTGACGTGTATAGACCGTTAAAAATTAAAAAAATATTTATTATTCATACAATATTTACACAACTCTTTCGACTCGCACACGATTAAAACACCAAGTGTTGAGAAGGATTACATTGCCTAGTCAGGTTGATAAGTTCAAAGATAGAGCGTCTGTTATCAAACATGGCAAGGAATGTACTTTTATTTACCATTCGTTACTTAACTCGTGTAACCGACAACTACCAGGTTATTATCCATTATTATCGACCGCGTCTGTGTTATGTATGTGTCATGTCATTACATGAGTCATAGTCTCGTAAAATATTCCAAATTTAATTGAATTCTTTGATAACTCACCTGAGGTCAACATCATTATCATACTGCATCATTCCGTTTAAATATTTCGTAATCATTTCACATAATGACTAACTTTCAATTTTACTTGTCATATTTGTGACTATCTAAATATCTTAGACGACTTTGGTGACCTAGCGGTTAGCAGCGTTAGCAGCGTCCGAATCTCGGCAATTTGGGAAACGAACTTTATGTAAATTGGTTATGGTCCGGTTGTTCTGGTTTATGCTCCGGAGATAATTCCGTTTATCTGGTAATCATAGTACAGGGAATTCCCTAGTTTCAGATCGAGAACCGAAGTCGGCACTTCCTTATCAAACGCCGCTTACTGGTGAGAAACCGAGGTTGACAAAAGTAATAACAATAACATTTATGTGGTCTTGAAGAGACATTTAGAGATTATATCTCAGTGAAAAACTTATAATTTAATTGTTATTAAAGTGTTCGATTTTTGTATAAATAATTCAAAGCGAGATACTTTGAGATTGTATACAATTGGCCACAATATCCAGCGTGGCAAACATTACTTCCAGAAGGAAGCCGACAGGCGAACTCGTTTGGGCTGGGCGGCATTTGGGAAGCCGCATCTTCAGGTCGTCAATCCTGTGGGATTCTAAAGTCTAAAAACAAAGGCATGGTAACCAGACATTTTACCAATTATGTCCTATGGAGCTGAAACGTGGACATTAACAACAGGCCTCATCCACAAATTTAAGTCGCTCAGTGTGGGATGGAGCGTGCTAAGCTTGGGGTTTCTCTGATGACCGAATTCCTAATAAAGTCATACGCCAGAGAACTAAAGCGATAAGCTTAAGCAGCAGTGGGCTGAACATGTCTGCGGTAGGGCTGGTGGCCGATGGAACAGAGTTGTTCTGTGGCGACCACCTCAATGCAAATGTAGTGTAGGACGTCCTGCGGCAAGACGTCGTCCAACATCCTCCTGGCCACTGTAGCGGAGAGTCGACGGCCCATTTGTGCAGGCATGGGAGGCCCTGAAGGGACTGACTATCGGACGAATATCGGACGGAGAATGGGAGTAGACTCCCAGGACCGGGAGAGTTGTCGTGTTCAGGGGGACGCTTACATCCAGCAGTGGAATCATGTAAGCTAATGATGATCAAAGTGAAATAAAACTTGAATGAGAAAGTAAAGCATGTAAACCGGTGATTCCCATACTTCTTTCGGTCACGATCTTACCTTAGCAAATCCGTAGTCATGAACCCCAAATTGAATAAACTTTTATAATATAATAAAACCCACTAAACAATGTTTCAACGTATCCTCTATGATGAAACGATTGGACTAGGTTAAGAAAGAAGCCACACATTTTTGTTTAATTAACTTTTAAAACCTGCCAAAGTGCGTAAGTTGTGAGCGGTGCACGCATCCATCCATCTCTCTATCACTCGATCAAGCTTCTCATCAAAATTAATATGCGGAGGATTAATAATAATGTGGAGTCAAATGCGACCCTGCTTTAAAATATAGTCAATAGCGTTTATTTTACAAATATTTCTGTTCTGGAAAATGTATTATTATCGAGTTCTTAGGTTTTCGCGCTTGTTACACATAGGAAATAAAACTATTTTTCCGGATTTAAATCGCGTATATTTGTTTTTTCAAACAAACCGAGACGTTTCGGGTCCTTTACAGGTCCCATGGTCACGGTTGACTGAGGTGGTACAGTCTTCAACCAGTTATGTCTAATATTGATGCAAACCACCCGATTTTTTCACTATAGTTACAATAGTTATTAATTAAATACCTTATTTTTAATTTTATAAAGAAAACATTCCAATTTACGCTATATTAATTTTTACAAATTAATTTATTGAATGAATTTTTATAAAGCTCAATTTATTATTAATGATTAATAGAAATCAGAATAAACTAAAACATATTAATTAGTACTGCAGTCTTATGTCTGTTTGGGATTTTTCAAGAGAGGAAATACTGGATCCCAAACTGGTGGTACGGAGAAACATCTTCCCTGTTGAAATTAAGATGTTTTTTAATTTCAATGGCCTGTCGCAGCATCCTGAGTAGATAACGGACTTCTTTTGCAAGGACCTGGGGTTTGTCAAACTTCATTGAATGTGTAGGTTTGTCCATGACATGCTCGCAGATTGCAGACTTGTTTACGCGACGGTGTTTGACATCAGCTATATGTTCTTTGACGCGGGTACAAATACTTCGCTTTGTTTGTCCAATATAAGAGAGACCGCACTCACAGTCAAGCTTGTAAACTCCTGCATCCTGTACGGGGATGTTACATTTCACGGGTCTCAGGAACTGAGAAATCTTCCTCAGGGGCTTGAAATAGGTCTTGATAGATGCACGCCTGAGGACTCTTCCGATCTTGTCTGTAACGCCTCTCACGCAAGGTAAGATGGCAGGTCTTCGCTCGACTGTTGCTGGTTTCACACGGGGCCTGCGGCATTGGCGTAGAATCTTCAACTTATTTGCATGTAGGACTTGCTTTATATGCTGAAGTTCCCCTGCCAGATGATTATACACGTGCTCTCTGAAACAAAGATTTGCCCACGGTAGCTAACTGGCTAGGATGATGATGGGAATTACCATTGCGATACCTATCTGTGTGGGTTTTCTTTCGAAATACAGTATGGCCTAAGGTGTTATTAGGATTTCTTTTAATTAAAACATCTAAGAAAGCACAATTCTCTTGTTCAATAGTAAATTGGATCTTAGTACTAAAAGAATTAAGATGGCCCAAGTAAAAGAATAAGAATAAAGAAATAAGAATAACTTCATATACCTTGGGTCATCCTCCAGAGGTCTTTGGAAAACTTGGATTAAACGGTTTGTTTAAAATTTTAAATCGTAAGAACCTAGTATTTGATACAGGTGAATCAACACGGCTAATAAACTACACTACGGATCAAGGTATTTTGTCATAGCAACTATGTAGGCTCAGTGGAAACCGCTAATCATCCGTTGACAACCATAACAAAACTCCCCAACATGTTACAACTTGCTCGTTATCTCGATCAAGGTAATTTCATTCATAGCTATTTATAGCTTTATCGGTCACGTCGCAGATAATAAGCACGAGACAATTTTGTGTGCCAGTTGTTTTTTGATTTATAGTAAAGAGTGTCGGAAATCACTGGTGCTATTGCGGCTTTAGCGATTCACTATCTATTATTTCCATTTTGTAACGTTCACATTTACGCGGGTGAACTTTCTTTATCATAATCAAAGACCGGAATAAGCAGAATATAGGATAAGACTCCGCTTATTCCGGTCCTCCTGGAATGATTAAAAATAGAAGGCACATTTTCAGTTTCGCATCTTAGTGGCACAGTAACTTCAGCTGGTGCAGCTGCTGAGTCCGCTGCTCGCAAGAAACCTGGAAATTCGTTATATGTTCGATCCGCTTGCTATTGAGACGGCGGCGGGTTGTTGGAGTAGCGATGCGAAAAAGTTTGTAGCGTAAATCGGGCGACGGCTAAGAGAGAGCGGAGATGACTCCCGCGCCGGGTTGTTCTTGGCGCAAAGGTTGTCCATTGCCATACAGCGAGGAAATGCGGCAAGCGTGATGGGCGATTGTGACGAGTGTGAGCATTGAGCCATGTAATTTGTAATTTCTTGACTTATTGAACATATTTGTTATGCATGACTATACTATGTATTAAAAACTTATTTAAACTTATTTAATATTTAATCTTTTCTTCTAAATTCTATACTGTATCGAGTTTTTTTAGGTTTTCGCGATTGTTACACATAGAAAATAGGATCTAAATCGCGTCTGATTTTTCAAACAAACCAACGTTTAGGGCCATATAGCCGTTATCCAGGCCATAGACAACGGCTGACTGGGAGTCAGTTTATAGTTTTATACATACTAGTTAATATTTTCTTCTCATTTAAGTAGGGCCAATACTGAGGTATCCCTCTTTCCAACAAAAAAATTAATCATCAAAATCGGTTCACAAATGTCAGAGTTATCGCGTAACATACGTACATACAAACACAACATACAGTAGAATTGAGATCCTCCTCTTTTTTTGATGCCGGTTAAAAATAAGTGATTCCGCAATTTTAGAGCTATTAGGTATGTACTCTATGTGTATTATTTGAAATTAGGCAACATCTATTTAATTTCTACTATTCCATTGCTCTTTATCTTTGTTAGCAGGTTATAGTTATTCCATGTCATCACTTTCAGATTCATAAACAAGTAGATAAGTGGCATCATTTTAAGGTTTACATAAGTATATTTGCCGAATAAAATAAATCTTACTGTTCTTCGGCTTGGTCTCCTTGGACCAGTTATACCATCGAATTCGGTTCCCATTGGTTTAGACAAGACTAGTCGATCCTCTCTTGAACGGTCCTGACCCCTGACAAACTTCTCTTGCTTCACATAGACTCATCGATCTTTTCATACATGCCTGTTTATTCATCTCATTACGCATTCTATCTAAATAATTTTACCTAAATTTTCTTTCTTTTATTAACCCTTCCAAATGTGTCTTCCACGTTGGATCAGTGTATATCTCTTTCGTCACAACACGACGTAATTGTATTTAATCTTATATCTTATATCGTTTTTTTGTATAGAGTATGGTCAGTTTCAGTAAATACCGCACTAAATCACAAAATGCGAACTGAACAGTAACTCTGATCTCAGGGTGCTAAATAGGTTTCCCCACGCTGTTTAAAGGTAGTTAGTTGGTCAGTTAGCATGGTGAGACGAAGTGTGGAGAAAAACAAGCACCGACTTATCACTTTTGATATCAGATATTGTGCAGTTGACTTTAATTTAAATATTCTGAAACGGACGGGTCTTCTCTCAGGCGAGGGTTTAGGTCATAGTCCATCACCCTTTTTTTTTTTTTTTTTT